AGAAGAAAACCTAGGAAAACGTCTTCTGGATATTGGCTTAGGCAAAGAATTCATATGCAAAAATCAACTCAGAATGGATTAAAGATTTAATATAAGTTAAGGATTAAAGATTAATATATAACTTCAAGGACTAATATAACTGGATTAAATATAAATGGATTAATGACTTTTATAACCCAAAGTTATAAAACTACCAGAAAAAACATATGGGAAATGCTTCAGGACATTGGTCTGAGCAAAGATGTTATGGCTAATGCTTCAGAAGCATAGGTAATGACAGCAAAAATAGACACATAGGATTATATTAAACTAAAAAGCTTCAGCACAGCAAAGGAAACAATCAAAGAGGGAACAAACAACCTGTAGAATGAGAGAAATATTTGTTAACTATTCATCTGACAAGATGAATGTATAAGTAACTCAAACAACAGAAAAAAACCCCCAATAATCTGATTAAAAGATGGGCAAATGATCTGAATAGACATTTCTCAAAAGAAAGACCTACAAATGGCCAAAAAGTACATGAAAAAAAGCTCTCAACACCACTAATCATCAGAGAAATGTAAATCAAAACCACAATGAGATATCATCTCACCCCAGCTAGAATGACCATTATTAAAAAGACAAAAAATAACAAACAACTTCAAGGATGCAGAGAAAAAGGAACTCTTATACACTGTTGGAATGTAAATTAGTACAGCCATTATGGAAAAACATTATGGATATTCTTCAAAAAACTAAAAATAGAACTACCATATGATCCAGCAATCCCACTACTGGGTATTTATCCACAGGATAGGAAATCAGTATATTGAAGAGATATATGTACCCCCTCTGTTTACTGCAGCACTATTCGCAATAGCCAAGATATGCAATCAACCTAAGTGTTCACCAACAGATGAATAGATAGAGAAAATGTGGTGTATATATATATATACATATATATATATACACACGCAATGGAATATTATTCTGATATAGAAAAGAATAGAATTCTGTCTTTTGTGGCAACATGGATGAGCCTGGAGAACATTAAGTGAAATAAGTTAGCACAGAAAGAAAAATACCAAGTGTTCTCACTCATCTGTACAAGCTAAAAAAGATGGGCTCATGGAGGTAGCTGGGAGACCTGTAGTAATTAGAGGCTGGAAAGAGTAGGGAGAAGTTGGTTAATGGATACAAAATTACAGCTAGATAGGAGGCATAGGTTCTAGTGTTCTATAGCACTGTCAGGTCAATATAGCTAACAATAATTTATTGTACATTTTCAAACAGCAAGAAGAGAGGATTTTGAATGTTCCTAACACAAAGAAATGATAAATGTTTGAGATGACAAATATGCTAATTACTCTGATTTGATCATTATACATTGTACACATGTTTTGAAATATCACTCTGTGCCCATAAATATGTAAAATTATTATAGGTCAATCAAAACTAAAATTTTCTTAAAAAGGTCAAAGTAAAGAAAAGAAAGAACTAAATAGCTGGCATACAAATGTGGCAGGCAAACGCCTTTAAATTTTATAGTATATATACGTGTTACCTATTCAAAATTTAAATAAGCAGATAAACTTTTTAAAAAGTTACAAATTAAGATAATAAAGTACTAAATAAAATATGTTCTTTCCTCCTATATTGTCAGATATATTTTCACAAAGAAAAATAGAAAAATATGTGATTGAATGAGTAAGATACATTTATAAGTTATAAATATAAATATTAAGATAATTAATAAATATGAATATAAATGGTCCAGAATTTTATTTTTCATGCCTTTATCTCAGAAAAGTCACTAAATATGATAATGGAAATTTCACAAAATTTGAGCTCTGATAGTTATAATCTATAAGAGCAACTGAAAATAAAATGTAATTATAATCAAAATAAATATAATTGGAAGGTTTTAATCAAAATACATACATTAAAATAAATGTGAAAAATTTAAATTGAATTATTTTCATATATTTACAAAGCCTATTTTAAAATTCAATACTAAAAATTATCTATTAGAATTAAAAACATACAAATTATAATTGATAAACCTTTAAATAAAATTTAAACAAAGCTGAAAATGTTTATTTATTTGAAATTTCATAAATCTTATGTGTACATTTTTATAAAAATTAAGTTATTCATGATTCCAGCATTTAATGCTCATATTTTAAGTGCCAATCAGGTAATGTTTTATCATTTCATATCTACAGTTACAGATATGCAAAATTAGAATAATGTAAATTTTTTAATATTGCAAAATATTCCTTTGCCACTATGTACAATTTTTTTCAGTAATTCTGAAACCATGAATTGGAACATGAAGAAAAACAAAGAAATGGTCATTCGTGTCTACTAGGAAACAAAATTCATCGTGAAAGAATCTATTGAGCTCATATTATCTCAGAGGATTTGACACGTTAACTAATTTATCTTTTCTCTTCCCTAAATATTTGTGTCACCTCATTCTTCCTTGTGTTTCTAAGTAGTTTTTGCCTCCAAGAATAAAAACTTTAAGCCATCGAAGTGAATCAAAGGAAAATTAAGAAAGGCAAATCAAAGTTCTAATGGCTGCACACAAAGTTAATCAGCCATTTGTTCAAAACATTAAAAATTTAGAACCAGGATCCACAAAAGTTGTGACTCATTCTCTGGCCCTGAAGGTAATATTGTGCAGTTTAGAGCTGTTAACAATAGGACAAAAAACCCAGCACTTTATTTCCATAGCACATGATGCAATTATTTTTTTCTCAGCTAACACCTTCTACAGTCAGAACAAGGTAACTGACATTATCTCACACTCAACTGGAGACAGCAGCTTCAGATGTCTGTTTACCTCATATAGCGTGGACACCTAATCACAGTTATCTGGTGATATTACTCTTCCTCATATTTAGAGATAATGTCACAAAAGATGATTACTATTTGTACAAGAATATGTCTTCGTTGAACACATGACAATGTTTTTTGGATCAATGTCTGAAGAGGGGATCTGCAAAGCCTATCTCTATTTAAAACTCTGCTTTGGGTGGTTATGAATGCCCTGAAATCTTTTTCTTAAAATACCTACCCAATTATCACCTGGTTTATCTCAGACGGCTGAACTATTCTACACAGTCTGAAACTAAAGGTCAAAATATTCTGAAGATGTTTCTTCTGTATTTTCTTGACTTACAGTTGTAAAAACTATAGAAAGTTACTATTCTACCAAGAATCAATTAATGTTTCAGATAAAATGTAAGCTGGAAAAAGGAATACATACTTGAGGCCAGATAGGTTTGAGTTCAGATTCCACTTGTGCCACCCTGAGCTAAGTGACTTAGGGCAAATTACATAACCTTTCTGAGGCTCAGTTTCTTCATTTGTAAGTGAAATAATTCTTTGTTCATTGTGCCACTGTGAAAATTAAATGATATGATCACTATAAAGTGCCTGGCACACAGTAAATTCTCAAAAATAGTAGCTATTAGTAGTGACTGGCAAAGAATTGAGGGAACTGGGTGTACTGCATTCATTCGTCCATCTAGTAAGTATGTATCGATCCTACTATATTCTAGGCAACTGGGCAAAGTGCTCAGGACTCAAAATCTGTTGTTTTTCACTAGGAGCTTGAGTTTTTGTGAGGATAGAGACAGACACTCATAATAGAGATAACAAGAGTGCTGTGCAAACACAAATAAGGAAATAGCTAACTTTGCTTGCGGCATTAGGAAAGGCTTCTTAAACAAGATAGGAACTAAGCTAGCAGGACGAGCAGGATTTTGCCAGGAAAGAATGAGAAGGGCATTTGGGACAGAAGACTGTGAAGGCATGGAGTTACGAAAGGGCTTTTCACATCCAAGAAAACTAAGAAGTTGGAGAGGAGCAGCGTAGCCATGTCAAGCCTTTTATAGATGGTTAAGGGGCAAGACCCAGGTGATGTGTTTGAAACTAGACCAGAGATGTCGTGCTAATCCTTCAACAGTGTGGCTCTAATTGAACTCAAAGAAAATTCCATTTTTCTAAACTGTGCTACTTTTGATGAGTTGGCTTAAGAAAGGATTAATCAAACCCCCTCAGTACAGTGATGTTTGTGCACACCACTTTTCTTAAAATATACCAAAATTGGGGGCAGAAGGGAAACTGTTATTTTGGACCTAAGACTCATGATTTCCAGTTCTTCATTCCCCTATAATTTCTGTGATGGGTTGCCCTTTTCACCAGGAACACCCTAGGACATATTCTAAAAATTGCTGTAACCAAAATACATGCTTCTTAGTTAATAGCAAAACAGGGCTTAATTCCAGATGTTGAAAGGGAAGATGATGCAAAAATTTCTCTGCAGAAAATACATCCCCAAATCTTGTTTAAGTGATGTGAAAACCATCCGAAGCATTTGATTTGAAACGAGTGAAGGTAACACCATGGCTAAAGTATCAGAAAGGATTAAACTCAGAGGGAGGAAAAAGCCTTGCACCCACAGGCAGACACTCCAGATTGGGCAGAACCTGACAAGGCAAACAATTCCACTGCTGAAGACACCTCCGAATGCCTGCAACAGAGCTCTGAGGGAAAATAACAGCCTTGCTGCTCATTTGGGGGAAACTGTCCAAGCACGGTAGTTATTTCCAACACAATCCCACTGATGTCAGGTGGAGACGGAGCGGAGTGCTAATGGTCGAGTAGGTGGGAATCAATCCTTAGGCTCCAAGAACAAGCCTCCTGCTAATAGCACAGAAATTAAATTCATCCCAGAATGAGCTGAGTGCATGATCTAACAGCACTGCAACCTCTTAATAAACTGTGGATTCATCTACTACCTCGTCTGAATAATGACTCAATTGCATGGAAAGAAGCTTTTTTGTTTACCTTCAGTATTATTCTCTAACTGTAATTTTTCATTATAATATTCCAACATTTCACGGCTATTTAGGTAGATTCTACGGAAAGTCTAAATTAGAAAATAGCTCTTTAATATATATTTTTTTTATTTAATAAGAGGAAACCATTTGTCTTAATACACTCACCATTCCGTGATTCAGCCACCCTGGGATGAAGTTATCAAGCAACTTTGGGTATATCATCTCTCTGTCATAGGCATAAATGATCCAGAACACCGCGACAACGAACTGGAAGGGAAAAGAAATCTTTCATTTGAAGTTCATTAACTATCCACAACATACAATTTGTTGGTTATTTATTGTTAAAAGAACCCAACAGAATTTGGAATCTATGATGAAAGACAGGTCAGTAAACCAGTTAATGACTAGAAAGATAGCTCTAGCTTCCTTTCATTAGTGGTAACCGTTAAGGTGCCTCCTTCCCTTCACTCTCCCAATTGCACTCTCTCTGGCAAAGGGATCTGTTTTTCAGGGAGAAAGTAGAGAGGCCTGTCATCAGGAAACAGCTCCAATTCAGGGCTAACTGTGCTTGTTTGAGTCCTCTCAAGAGGGTTTAAAAGTTCACTGGTGGTTTTTTCGGCTCCCATTCCCCACTGTATAGTTAGCACGCATTGCAGAAACTAGAGAGTATGTCCCTTTTCCTTGAACCCATCCTGTGGTTTAAATTAATCTCCACATTCTCGAGTTTCCATTTCACCACTAACAACATTGAAATCCCTGCTATAAGATATCCAAAAGTCACATTTCCAGCAAATGTATGAATTTATACGGCCCACGCAAGAACTTTAGCTGTACTGAGAAGCAGGGTATGTGGAGGGCGAAGGAAGATTCCTAATTCTCTTGGAAAAATTTAGAAGTTCATCTGGATTCCAGAGGCTTGTTTTGGCACATTAGAAACATAATCATCAAAGGAGAGTAGAGTACTCAATTTATTATTTTACCATTCTTTGAATGAATTGTGAGAGAAGAAGTTCAGATAAGATAAAGAAATGAATGGCCCAAGGTCTTGACCTCCAGCATAGAATTTAAAAGAAAAAGTGTATGCTTTTGTAAATGTCAAAATTTAATATTTTTGACAAAATGTCAAACATTTTGAAATTAGGTAATATTCTGAAATTAGAAAAAAGAAACATAGACTAATGACATGAAAAAAGAATTCACAAATAAACATCAAAATATGCTCAATCTTACTCTTAATAACAGAATGCAATTATAACTACACTGATGAGATTGGCAGAGATCCAAGTTTGACAACACACTCTATCAAGGTGACTATAGGGAAATACTCATAATAAAACTCTTAGACTTTAGTGGTAAGGAGAATCTAAAATGATACAATCCTTATGGTGGGGAATTTAGTTATAACTACCAAAAGTTATAACTATTTACCTTTCAATCTCCCCTCAATAATAACCCCATCTAGGAATCTAGGAATCTCCTTCAAAGATACACTGGAGGGAGGGTATATGGGGTGAAGTGTCCATCTTACTCCTCTCTCTACTTTTTGCTTATTTGTAACTATTCATAAATGAAAGGTTTTTAAACATTTAAAAAAATGAAAATAAATTTCAAAAATTTTTTTAAAAAATGTACTATGAAAAAGGGAGCCATTTGAAGAAGTTTCTGTTAGAGTGATGTCTCAAAATAAAAAATGCTATGGAATGAAAAACTACAGCTTGAATATTAAAAAGAAATAAATTTTAGTTTATTTTTTATAATTATAAGTCATCTATGCTCCCACATTTTATTAACAAAAATAGTAAATATTTTAATGGCACTTTTTACAAAACACCTAGTTACAGTTGGTAGCTCAAGGCTAGTAATCAGAGGGTTTCAACTATGTCAGTTATGACATGGGTAATTTTGGCTAGGAAAAAAAAATTCGCCCTTAAAATGGGATGCTACATGCATTTATTGTTTTATAAAACACCATGGATGATAATTACAATAGGCAACTATAGATTACACACATAATTTAAATACCAGATTGGGGTCCCCAGTTATTTACCTTTCTTTTGGGTCAACTATTTTCACTGTCAGTTTATAAATGCACAAGATAAAAAGAGAAAAAAAATCTATTAACTTAAAGTTAACTATCATAACTTTCTAAATACATGAATAATTTTTTAATTATCCATAATTTTGGATTATTCCTTCCAGTTCAGATTCCAAATATACTGATTATCAATGGTAATGGCATTTAAGGTACATATTTGATAGTAACTTTAAACCTTTATTAAATTAACCCTCAACATTATCTCCTTAAAGTAGGCTGGAACACAGGTTATTGCATTTTTCCTTTCAACAAATAGAGAAATCAAGGTTTTCTTTTCACTGACTTTAATAACATTTGTTTGTATATAAAGCTCCACATATCATAAATGGAAACTCACTATAACTTCATTAATTTTGATCCCACTAATTTGAGTGATAAGACAAATAGAATCTATAATACACTTATTTTAGTCCTATCTTGTGAAGAAAAGATTTACTAAGGAAATTAAAAAGTTACTATGCTTTCATATATATAGGTATATAACATTGAATAGTAAAAAGCATGTTAATTTTTTTTCCTTGAATGACCTTACAATTTAGCAAGTTGGGCGGTTTGGTGGAAGTCAAGACCAGATTGCCAAAGACTAAGGTGGGTGGGGACAGAGACAATGGAAGAAGCCTTCTTTTCCATAACAATGGCCATGAGGGAAGGAGAAGGAAGTCTGCTGCATGACAAAACAGGAGAGCCAGGCAATATTGTGAATGGCTAGAAGTCAGAGTAAATGGAGACAGAAAGACAGGGAACGACTGATTAAGCAAAACTCAGGAGAAGAAAGGGATTAGGATCATGAACACAGACAAAGCATTGTTCCCTTCTTTAAAGTGGGATGCAGGCACTTTTGCTGACAGTTGGAAATAGGGTGGAGTACAGAATGGATGTGGGACATGGCTGTGGATAATGTGTGAGGATGCCAGTAAGATATTTAAAAGGAAGACTTATGAATCAGGAGGGCCCAAGGGAGGTCTACTAGCATGATTCTGTAGTAGAACCCACCAGGATGTTTTCTCGGTTATCGCAAGGTCTATGTAAGGGGGATTTAGAAAAAGAGGGTATAGGAAAAAAAGGATCCTGGGGGGTTTCCTAGCATCGTGGATTAGGTAACTGGAACAGACAGAAGGTCTGAAATGACTGACTAGCATTTCTAAGCTGGTGCCTGGGAAGGAGTGGTTGCAAGTGAATTACAAGAGATATCACTTATAAAGCTACTAGTGACACAGAGTGGACACAGTTTAAGGTAACTCTTCCTGTTTGCATGTCTTTTTGCGGCACAGATTTGACAACTCTAAGTGACACCAGTCCAATTAGGGCTGATTCTATGCCTTAATGTCAGAAACGCGCTGCCTGCCAGGCGTCACTGTAGTTCTGCCCTTAGACCTTGGCTCTGTGCTTTCTAGCCTCACAATTCAAAGTAGGGTCCCATGGATTGGCAGCACCCACATCACCGAGAGCCTGTTAGATATGCGGAATCCCCAATCGCACCCTGATATGTTCTGATCCTGCATTTTAAGAAGATCCTAAGGTCATTCACATGCACATAAGAGTTTGAGATGTTCTGGTTTGGGAGTAACTATTCCAGCCACCTTGAGCCTCCTCCTTTCCCATGCAGTGAGGGGATCCGATGGCCAAGTGGCTTGTCTCTCCAGAGCTTGCATCCCTCCCCTTGTAGACCACACCCCAGGTAACTGTGACCTTGGAATTACCTGTGCAAGCAGACAGGAGTACAGGCCTCAGGGTACCTGTGGGCTTCCTCCCTCCCATGGTCTGACCCTGAGGGTGGACTGTGCAATAAATGTGTGTTTGGCTTGATCTAAGATGTGGTTAAGATTTGTTTCTTTCTGTAGGGTGAGAACCAAAGTTTTGTATTTGGTCTGGGTGTCCGCACACAGGCACTACTCCATTTCAGTCCCGGATGGAGCCACTGCTGGAAATCCCTTCACGTTTGCCATATAACATAACTAAATCACGAGAGTGACATCCCATCACACTCACAGGTCTCTCTCACACTCATAGTTAGAGGACTATATGGGCCAGTGCAGCAATGGGTGGAATCTTAGGGCCACATCAGAATCCTGCTTAGCACAGATTCCTTCTCGGTTCTTCCTTTCCAAAATTGTTTTTGAATATTTTAAGTTCTTTGCATTTCCATTTACATTTTAGAATCCCAGCTTGTTAATGTCTACAAATATCCTGCTAGAATTCTCATTGTAACTGTTTGGGGAGAACTGACATCTTAACACTATGGAGTCTTCCAACTCATGAACATAATTTATATCTCCATTTATTTGGGTCCTGTTTAAATTTTTCTCAGTAATTTTTGTAGTTTCCACTGTACAAACATTGCACATATTTTGTTGAACCTATGCCTAAGTATTTCATGTTTTGTGATGCTAGTATAGATGGTGTTGCATTTTTTTTTACATTGTTCATCGCTAGTTTATAAAAAATACAACTGATTTTTTACTATTGACATTGTATCTTATACCTTTGCTAAATTAGCTTAGTAGTTCTAGTAGCTAGTTTTGAAATTATTTTGGATTTTTATACTTATATAATCTTCAAAAAATGACAGTTTTTCTTCTTCCTTTACAATTTGTATGCCTTTTACTTCTTTTCATTTTTTTTATTGTACCACCTAGGAACTTCACCAATATGGTGAACAGAGCATCCTTGCCTTCCTCCCTATCTTAGGGAAAGTGTTCAGTCTTTCAACATTTAAGTTTGATATTAGCTGCAGGTTTTTCTTAGATGCCTTTATCAAGTTAAAGATCTCCTCTATTCTTAAATTACTTAGGAGACATATTTTTACCATAAATGAATGCTGAATTTTTTCAGATAGTTTTGTTGCATATCTTGAGATAATCATATATTTTCTCCCTTTATTCTGTTAATAAAGTGAATTATATCAACTGATTCTGAATGTCAGACCAATCTTTCATTCCTGCTCATCATGTGTTATAATTTATATCTATATAGCTAGATTCAATATGCTGATATTTCATAAAGAATTTTTTTCATCTTTATTCATAAAGTATACTAATCTATAATTTTCTTTTTTTGTGATATCTTCATCTAATTTTTGTAACAAGATAACGCTGGCCTCAAAAAATTAGTTGAGAAGTGATTTCTCCCCTATTTTACGAAAGATCTTGTGCAAAGGTCTTGTTGGTATAAT